CAGAAACGCCGTCGTTTTTTAAGTGAATTAACGTCCTAACTCATTTAATGGCCAAACAAATTTTAATTATTATAAAATAAATTACGATAAAAGACTAATTTTAACAATAACAATAGTAATGGCAAAGGTGAATATTTTATGGCAGAAAAACTTTCGAATAATAATAAATTATTTTTAATTAATATATATGTTTGTGAATTTTACTAAATATAGAATATAGAAATATTGTTATTATATATGTACTCAAATCTCATTATATAATCATTTAAAATAAATAAATAAATAAAATGGTGTAAGCACTTAAGAAGTGCGCTGCCTACTTTTTATTGTTCCTACACATCACGCATTTGTCTTCTCAAACTTTTTATTTTTAAAATTTCTAATATTATTCATCATCATTTTTAATATATCTCTTTATTTATAAAACATGTGTAACAACCAAATCTAGAAGAAAATTAAAATAATATTTTTTAAAAAAAAATTAATTAAATTCTTCTGAAGAAAGGTTTGAATTAATAGCTTCAACAATGTTGACGTGGAACAGCATCTGTCACTCTCTCAAAATCTCAAGTGACCAAATCAAACAGCACAACCCATGTCTATCTCCTCAGAATCTTTTTAACAAAATCATGTACATCTGCACCAACACCAAATAACACACACATCTATACATACATGTATACATATACATCTACATCTACATATATATATATATATATATATAGAGAGAGAGAGAGAGAGAGTGAGAGAGAGACAGATAGAGAGAACAAAAGCATCGGTGCCTGTAATTTTGGAGGCTATTTATTTTGGTTCTTTCCATTTTTTTTTTTTTTTTAAAAAAGAAATTCTTGGTAGCAATCATTTTTAGGGGCATCTCTTCTCTCTGCCTCCCCTTTACACAAATGCTATGTTGATTTCTGTTTATCATGTACTGGGACTAAAGTGGAGTCAAAAAGTAATTACAAATATATACATTTACATATATATTAAAAACAAAAAATATATATTTAAAAAGAAATATATATGTGTGTGTGTTTGTGTGTATATATTTAAGCACGTGGGGTCCTAAGCAGAAGGTAATAAATAAGTGGACCAGCTATTGACATGTAGAATATAGAGAGAGTCATGGCCATTAGTTGGAGCAAATATGAGTGGGAATAAGATGCCCCGGCTAACATGATTACCTTTCATGTGCTTCTTCACATTCACAACCATCTAACATGCTCTCCTCCCCTTAAATTTCTTAATTTTCAAACTCCATTCCTTTTTTACCAGTATACATATATATATACATATCCATTCAATATATATATAATTTAAAGTTCTAAACATTAATTTCCTTGTAATGAAAGCTTTTGTGTGGCAAGAAAATCAAGCTTCATGTTGCTGTATGTATATATTTGGGTGTTTGCTGGAATAGGAATTTCGAAAGGGACCACGTACGCATATATGTATGTATGTGTACGATGACTTTGGAGGAGAAGTTTTTGTACAAGAAACTCCGTAGTGGAAGATGAATATCCACTGCTTTTCTTTTGGTTCTTCTTTCTCCTTATTTCAGTAAGCATATAAATATTCTGTGATTGACCAGACCATCTTTTAATTTAATTTCTACGT